AAATTGATGATGTCAGTGTAACTCAGACATTGATAAGTTGAAGTGCAAGGTGACATACAATTTGTATGTTGCATTTTCATAACCTCTGGAATGCATATCTACAGTATATTTTTGTGTATTTTGTTTCTGTTACTTACTCTCTACCACAAATTTTCACCAAATCACCAATGTAGGGTAATATGAATAGGCGATAATTAACAATCAATTACATAATACCATGGTGCTCTGTAAAAGGACACAGCATGCACACTTTGATCCCCATTCACACACGCAGAGTTAGTAAAATCTGACTTTTTAACATGATACTTCTGACTGTTAAATTTCTTTCTCCGTTAGTACATGCTTGTTTAAATGACACAAGCAATATTCCATTGGTTATAAATTTTTTGAATAAATGCATAGTTTATAGGCACAATACATAAGGCTCCAACATTGCCAAAAACATGCTTATGAACACATATGATAATGATACTAAATAGCCTGAAATAATATCTGGAGTAAATGTGATTTTTATCATAAATTTTAAGCCAATTGAAACAATACGTCTAGAAAAGTATACACAGTATTTTTGCAATAAATGAATAAATCTTTTGTTCTTTCTAAATGTTCAACAATGCTTAACTTAATGTACAGCTCTACAGATGATGAAAAGTTTGTCATTTTAGCAGAAATGACTTTCAGAAGAATTGGAATTCACACAATGTTGGGAGATAACACAATAAAATAAAGTCACTGTAAAAACACAAGACTGGCTCATCCATTCCAAAGAGTTATTATACTATCATATTTAGCCCAACAAAAAGTAGTTGCTCAAAATATCACTAGATAAAGTAAATTTCTTTCTTTTAAGTGTTGTGTTTTTAACTGTGATTTTATTTGATTAGTTTTAGAGATATCCAATATCTCATACATCACTGTGCATGTCCTTGGTTTGGGTGTTATGCAGTAGCACTGCAATAATACATTACTACAAAAACCTGCATTTTTCAACTGTAGCACCTACTTTTGTTTACACAATGTATCAAAATAGTTACTTTCCAATTAATTACAATTATAAATATACAGATGTACCTTATTTATAATTATAGGTGCTTTATTTACATGAAAATTAAAAACCAACAAAATAAGCCAAACACAAAATTAAAAAATAGCAATCTAAAAAATGCCTGAAATCCTACTTTTGCTATTAAATGTACTCTGAATAGTCCCACTTATTACATCAGTATCTGATCAATGCAAGCTTACAGTAAATACTTAATAAACTAATACAACAAAAAAAAAGATAAAAATCTACAGGTTATTAGGCTTAAGATACAATTGTTAGATTTAAGTAAAAGCTCATCAAATGTCTCTTGAAAAGCCACATCTTTGTTGTGTGAAAATAATTTTTCATTTTTTCTGTAATAATCCTAAACAAACCTAAGATAAATTTATTAGAAAACATTAGTCAAATGCCAAAGATATTATGACAGTGGATTCAAAACTAAAATACAAATGTCTTAAACAATTTTCCTAAAATAGCCACAGAATGAACCAAAATTCACACCTTCAAACATTAGATAAGACTAATGACAAGTTTTATGTACATTATAACAGCTCACTCCAATGAATGGCAATGATGCTAATTTATTGTAATAGATATATCTGCTACATCTGAAAACAGCTGAAAGTACTGTATGGCTGAAATTATAAAACTGTGCACCAAGTTACTAATGTGGAATAGGTTTTCATGTTAACATTTTATTAACTAATCTGGGGCAGTAAGCTGTGATTAACCACCTGTAGCTTCAGGTTGATGACTCACCAGTTACCATGTTTATCTACCAATTACAAGAAGTGCCTTTTTCGCAAACTGCTTAGTGAATAGCACAAAGAATTCTGACAACACATGCTGGACAAAAATTTGTTTCTTTTCTGCACAGTTAACACACAAGAAATGTTCATTTTTAAATACTAAACTTATATAACTCTACATCCAACACAATAACTTCTCAGTTATTCATATAAATACAATGTCTATATGTCTATATTAGAATGTTGTCTAGTAACTCACCACAAACTTTTA